ATTCGCGACCGCAAATGCCATGCAATCTCAGACAACTGCCAATCAGGAACCCCATTAACCACCCTGCAAATCAATTAAGTGGATGGTTTGCTTTGAATCAAATACCACGCCGTGATGAGCCTAACAAAGCGTTGCAGGTGAGCGCCCTTTAATTCGGAGCGCTCGCATTCGCGCGCAGAGAGAACGGGTTTGGTGGCAGATGGGGAAAATTTTAATCTCATTCGGTATCCCTTCCTCTATATTTGGGGGCTGACCTTTTACTACACCCGGGGAAAGGTCGACCTGACATTTCCGTGCCACCCTCCGACAAACTTCTGTGCCGGGAAATGCATTATCACGAATTTCAATATTGGGAAGTTTTAATATGGGCACTACGGTGGGGCGTGGGAGGATAGAAAGGAGTCAAGTGTTGGCAAGTTAACGTCTTTCTTTGCGAGCACTTTGCAATTTACTTGTCCATGCGAGGATTGTCGCTCACAATGGTGATTGGTCGCTGGCAGGGCACCAAGGTCAATATGTTCACCCCCGGGGCCCACAATGTTGTCAGTTTGAATCCAATTTAGTCTCCTCGATAATGACGTTCCTTTGAGGTATTATTATCAAGCAAAAGTGGCGTCTGCGAATGTCTGCAGATGTAAAACTTCCCCAGGCATACGAAAAGGTCATTCAGTGACGGTAGTTATGGTAAGGCTTTAAACTTTTATTTTACAATATTGCTAATTTGAAATATTGTGCTTTTGTAAATTTGAGCGCAGGAAACTGCACGAAAAAAAATACTTGGTATACATATAATGGACAATTTTTTACGACTATGACCACCGGTAAAATAACAGGTGTATTCGTTGTGGTCGATGAGTGGTTCAGAGGTCAGAGTTCAGAGCTGGTAGAACTGGCAGCGATGTGCTCCCGGGTTCAAATGCAGGCAGCCGCCTGTGATCAAGAATCGTGGCTTGATGGTCTCAGCCAGTCAAAACTGAACGCACAAATAAACCATCACATTCAATTTGGTTCTGCACTTAATTTGGCAAAATAAATATTTATCTAACTGTCATGCACGGTGGGAGGGTCAATGCTGTCCTCTAACGTGAGTGAACAAATCTCTAATAAGTAGCTCTGTGATATCCACTTCCGTTGGCTGTTCTCAGAAACGAAGGGATGCGCGTCTCTGTGAGAGCTTCCAAACGGATTCTTCATCTCCTGATCTGACGCTGAGAGCGCAATCGGGATAGCTTTTGGAAAAAAACAATAATAAATATAGTAATAATTTGAATAGATAAATCAAATAAACCTGCCCCAAAGAATACTTCTATGCTTTGCCCTTCAGCTCTTTACACACCTCATTCCTTTCAAAGTAGAAATGTCCTCCACTCTTCATGTGCGTGTCGCACCTACGATTATCACGGTCGGCTACGTACGGTGCGAAAGAAGTTCTACACGTCTCCCGGAAAGAAAAAAAACACATCATCTACACACTCTCACCAAATCCGATAACATTACATTCCAAAACAGTGTAAGACGACAAACGAGGGACAACAACCACTCCAACACCCCCCCCCCTCGCCCGGCTAGCCACGGAATAAACGCACCCGGGGAGGGGAGGGGAGGGGGAGAGATTCCGCACCCAAGCGTAAAATGGAGCTTCCGTCCGCCGACGATCGCAAGCCAAACACGGAGGATCATCCTCGTAAAGCGAAAGCGTAAATATCACGCCGATTTAGCACGACGACGCCCCGGCCCAGCCGCATGCAACACTAAAAGGTCACCTCCTCCACGCCACGCTGCGAATTTACCGTGGGTGTTTTACAAGCGGCTGTGTGCGCGCGAGTGTTTGTCGCGCGGCTAGTGGGGAGCGGTCATGCAGGAGCGGTCAGCGCGCTGCGCTACGAACCCGTCGACGCTAGTTCGATTCCCGCTGACGGCCAACACCGGTGACGATTGTCTCGAACCGGTCCTGGGCCGCCTCTAGGTCGACTAAGCCTCAAATGAATACCTGGTGCGGTGTGTTAATATCGCCACTTGGGAGACAAAGGCGGCCGGGCGTGGTGTTGGCCATCCACCACCTCGTGTGCCGTGCCGGCTTTCATCGGTGCTACTCGCTAACTGCACTTGCCCCTACAGTCTGTTAAGGCTATACGGGGGGTCTTTGCCTTTGTTTCTCACGCTGTTTCTTGCTTATTCACCCTGCTGTCGCAAAGAAAACCCATTTATGTTCCACAGCCCTGAAATATGCAACCATAAGCGTGGTCTTTTCTCGGATAATGTGATACACTGAATATGTATGTTCGTGCAAGTTTATTTTATTTTGAAAACGTTGAAACCTGGCCTCGTGCTGCTACATCGCTCGATTGTGAGAACCCGTGGTAGCTCAGCTAGGAAGGCCTCCATCCAGCAGTAGATTAACCATTTAAATGAGTTTAACTATTTAAATTATTTATTTTTAAAACGCAAAAACTTGGACTTTGCGCTGCTAGCCATCGGACAAAGACGGTTACCGCATCGAGCGCTTTCAGACGCGCGCTTCTGCGGCCGTCTGGAACGCTCTTCCTTCCAACAGAAGGAAACCAACGGGAGCTACGCATTTTTAAATCATCTAGATTGAAAACTCATTTTCTTAGGACCTCTTTTTGTGCGTAGTTTGTTGCCCTTCCCCCGTACCTCCGATTAGCGCAGTTGGCCACGTACTGTGCGAAATAAGTTCAACATGCATAAATGCGTGCTCAAACCCAGGTAAGCCAGGTTCATAGCGCAGCGATGACAACCCCTGCTCCACCGCAAGAACACACAGCTGCAAGATCAACACGTTGTACCATAACGGATGGATTATTCCGTGTCCATTTCAGACCAATTGTAATCTCTCCATTAGGCACTCAATAATTGCGCAATTCAATAATAAACTCATTCCGGGCCAATTATAACTGCATTACATTTTAGTGCACAGCATTGGAACCAATGAATTCTAGCAAATAAATTGGCTTGGCGACAGAGCACTTATAAGCTGATAAATAAATGGCAGAGAGGGTGGTAAAAGGGGCTCATTAAGACTCCCATTTACGGTTAGAAGACTTTAACCCTTTCCTATCTTGCCACCCACCTAAATGTATTCATAAATTAATTATTACCCACTTGTGCATTTGTGCCCAGCCAGGATTCATCTTATTTTTATCGCAATGCGGCGTCATCTACTGTGCCAATCGCCGCAACAAGTTCTGCGTTGTCGTGTGTGGCTCCCCTCCACCCCCTCCCCCCTCCATGCACCCCCCCCCCCTCCACCCACATGTGCAGGCTTTGCCGCTCACGAGACGGCAGTGGACGCTTTGGGAAGCCCCGTTGGGCAGCGGCCACTCATGGCGCTGAAGACTCCCGTGATGGTGCGGGCGGCCAGGCACAGCGGCCAATTCTCCTGCCGTGGCTCAGCCACTGCCATTAGACTGGTGGCTCCCACCCCTGTTGCCTGTCGCGTGCCATGACTGATAACAAACTACACTGCCGCTCCCCGCGGCCACACAAAGACAAAGGTTCCTCCGTATAAACCTATTTACAGACTTTTGGGGCAAGTGCTGTTAGGGAGCACCGATGAAGGCCGGCACGGCGCACGAGGGGGTGAGTGGCCAGCACCACCCGCGGCCGCCTTTGTCTCCTGAGTGGCGATGTTTACACACCGCACCAGGTGCTCATTTGAAGCCGAGTCGACCTCGGCTTCAAATGCGCGGCGCGCTAACCGCAACACCGCCACACTGCCCACGGCCACACACACCGTAAAACAAATAAACCCATGAGCACTTAGACGCATAAATAATCCACGGGGAAGAGAGATGCGAGAGTGTTACACAGTTCGCGGCACTCTTGCCAAGGGCAGCACCGACGGAGGTGGCGCGCCGTCGATACGGGGGAACGGGGAACCCCTGGCAAATCCTCCGGTGCGGTGGAGGAGGGCAGCCTCACCGAGGAGGGCAGCCTCACCGCGGTGCCTCAGGCCGCCAGTTACGGCCTCGTGCTTAATGGGCAGGGGCTCGCGCGTCCACGTGGAATAACGTGGCACAAAGGCGTCGTGGTTAGACACGAATTGCACGTCAGCCGCACAGCACGCCGTTACATTCGTCAGTGGAGGTGCCAGCCCCATCGGGGGTGGGAGGGGGGGGGCATGAGCATGAATTCGTTTTCGGGTGGTCCACCTTTCGATTTATAAACTACTACCGGGAACGATAGATTGCGTGCAGGGCCAAGAGACTCCGACGTAGCGAGACACTGGGATTGCACATGGCTCACTGGGGATAACGCACAGGAATCGTCGCGCTCCCCTCATGTCCGTTTGCAGGCCAGGTTCTGGGTCGCCTTGTGCCGCACAGGGACAGCTGCCACTGGAGGGGGAGGGGGGTGCCCTTTCAAGTGTGTTGAGCTGAGGGGCGATGTTAAGTCACTTATTGTTTGCAAAGAGCTCTGAAACGCCCGAGGGTGACGGTGAGTGGCTCTATCAAAAACAAATGAACAAATCACGATGTGTGTTACTGTGTGTGATGTGTGTTGCTGTGCTTGATTCTTAATATTCGTTAAATTCTCGACGACATATTCAGCAAACGAATTGAACGCATCCTGAAATTATCGACAAGCGTTTGGCACCGTTTTCAAGCAACAACAACATTACATTTGTTGCACGTGTTAAAGATGCCGTCGAAAATGTAACGCGCATGATGAAGGAAAATAAATCGAAAACATAGCAATAAATAGGCCACAGCTCCGTGCTCACGTCAATGCGACACACAGGTGGGCCCTAGCAGCTCAATTGTCGGTGCGACATTGACTCGAGTACAACTGTGGAGACTCAAGTGTTTGCATCGCATTCACTCCGGCGTCAACGTTGAGACTTTAGCATTCTCTCCGGGCCCCCACGCCCCAGCACCCTCAACTCCCTCCGCCTCTAAAGCGCCTCGCCCCCCCCCCCCACCCCCCCGACCGGGACAAGCCAGAAGTTGTTCAGGAGAAGGAGGTCACGTGCGTCTCACCCGTGCTGTCCTCGTACACCACCGTGACGCTCTTCCACTTGTAGGACTGCACCAAGTCGAGCACGGCGCGGCTCACGGACGCGTAGTCGGGGTACAGGTTCACGAAGAACGTGTCCCGGCTGCTCGACGGCTGCGGCTTCCACTGCGTCTGGATGTGGGGCACCTCGAGCGCGTTGGCGATCGACTGCACGGAGCTCGCCGACGCCGAGTGAGAAGGTCCGAAGATGGCGGCCACCCCCAGCGACAGCTGGTCGCATGCTGCGGCGAGGTGCACGGTGCGCACGAGGTGGTGGCGGTGGGAGGGGAGTGGGGGGCGGGGAGATGTCGCGGAGGTTGGAGCGGCGGGGATGTTCGCAAACGGGAGATGCGAAGAGGATGGCACAGGGGATGGCACAGAGGATGGCACAGAGGATGGCACAGAGGATGGCACAGAGGGTGGGATAGAGAATGGCACAGAGGATGGCGCAGAGGGTAGGACAGAGAATGGCGCAGAGGGTGGCGCAGAGGGTGGCGCAGAGGGTGGCACAGAGGGTGGCGCAGAGGGTGGGTCAGAGGATGGCGCAGAGGGTGGGTCAGAGGGTGGCGCAGAGGGTGGGTCAGAGGATGGCCCAGAGGATGGCACAGAGGGTGGGTCAGAGGGTGGCGCAGAGGGTGGGACAGAGGGTGGCGCAGAGGGTGGCACAGAGGGTGGCGCAGAGGGTGGGTCAGAGGATGGCGCAGAGGGTGGGTCAGAGGGTGGCGCAGAGGGTGGGTCAGAGGATGGCACAGAGGATGGCCCAGAGGATGGCACAGAGGGTGGGTCAGAGGGTGGCGCAGAGGGTGGGTCAGAGGGTGGCGCAGAGGGTGGGACAGAGGGTGGGTCAGAGGATGGCACAGAGGATGGCCCAGAGGATGGCACAGAGAGTGGGTCAGAGGGTAACGCAGAGGGTGGTCAGAGGGTGGCGCAGAGGGTGGCGCAGAGGATGGCACAGAGGATGGCACAGAGGATGGCGCAGAGGATGGCGCAGAAGGTGGCGCAGAGGGTGGCACAGAGGGTGGCGCAGAGGATGGCGCAGAGGATGGCACAGAGGGTAGCACAGAGGATGGCACAGAGGATGGCACAGAGGGTGGCACAGAGGGTGGCACAGAGGGTGGCGCAGAAGGTGGCGCAGATGGTGGCACAGAGGGTGGCGCAGAGGGTAGCACAGAGGATGGCGCAGAGGATGGCACAGAGGGTGGCGCAGAGGATGGCACAGAGGGTGGCACAGAGGGTGGCACAGAGGGTGGCACAGAGGGTGGCGCAGAGGGTGGTGCAGAGGGTGGCGCAGAGGATGGCCCAGAGGATGGCACAGAGGGTGGCACAGATGATGGCACAGTGAGAGTAATGTTAGGGGTGGGTAAGGTAAGTGAGTTGGGAGGGAAGAATCAGGGTAGGACAGAGACGCATTGAGATGGAAGAGAAGAGAGACATTGAGAAGTAAGTGGAGGGGGTGGTTATAGGAGATGAAGGCGGGACAGGTGGAGAGAGATGAGTGTTGGAGTGAGCACAGAGAAAGAGAGAGAAAGGGAAAGATGAAAGTAACAAAAAACTAAGAGAAATAAACTAAATTTGAAGAGCACATAGTGGGATGTTTAAATGAGATTGGTGAGTGAGGGATGATTTAGGGGATGAGAGGCAAAGTAATTCAGAAGGCTTAGAAGATTGTGAGGAGGAGGAGGAGGAGGAGGAGGAGGAGGAGGAGGAGGAGGAGGAGGAGGAGGAGGAGGAGGAGGAGGAGGAGGAGGAGGAGGAGGAAAATGATGTAACAGTGAGTAGAGGACAAATGAACATATCGTGAAATAAATGGGCATATTACTCAAAAAACAAGAACAGGGAGAGGAATAGGTGTGGTCCAGGAACACACGGAGATAAGATGATATTGAGCGGTGAGATATGAAGAGGAGACACAGAGGCAGGCAAACACAGACAGAGCACACTGTCCTTAGTTAATCGGCATTTTTTTCCTTGCTCCCAGGCGTAAATGTAGCAGCCGTAAAAATTGGTTTGAAATTGAATTGCGACTCGGCAGCCACGGCGGCGGCGTGTCGAAGGCCGCCGCCGTGGCTGCCGGGAGAGCCGCGTCCGGTAACAGCCGTGAAACGAACAGCTTGCATGGGCATTCCGTGCGAATTACGGAACGAAAGCTCGGGTCTAATGGGCGCAAAGTCGGCCGGTCGGCGTTGCTCTATTCCAGCCCAGAGTGGTTGTCAAGAGCCCTCGACAAGCTCCATGTCGTCTGGAATTCACTCCGTCACTCTTTCACCTCGCACGCCGGAGGGGGTGTTCCGTCCTCCTGTCAGGATCTGAAGCCTCTCTCTCTCTCTCTCTCTTTAATGTATTCTCCCGTGCCTTCTGAACGTCCTTTTTAAAGTACAATTTCATTCAATTAATACACGGATGAATGAGCAAAGGGAGGGCTTCTTGCTCAATGTAATGTTTTGTTTTACAGTTGTTGTTTTTAATCACGCGACGATTGTGATTCTGCGTGTTTATCCAGGAGAGCAGCACTCAATCCTAAAGACACCCCCCCCCCTTCCAGAGGGCCTTGCCAAATTTCGCAGGAGGGGGCAACATCACTAATTGGAATTCCAATTGAGTACTTTGCTGGTAATTCTTCAGCATTGGGATGTTTGGCCAATACCACTTGCAATCTATGCAGTTAACATCTCGTCATGGTGGCGATGTTAACGATCTCGCCTGGTGTGCAGGGGGTTGTGGGTTCGATCCCAACCCTGATGCCTGTTGTATATTTGGAGTTTACATGTCTCTCTCCCCGTGGTCGCGTAGATGTTCCTCTGGGTCCTCCGGTTTTTCCCTCCACACTTAGAAACACGCGTTTAGGGCATTTTGGCTGCGATAAATTTCAACATGATGAGCCACTTCGTTGAGCTATTATTTGTGATATCCAGGTCGCTTCTGAAAAAGAGCTATATAGCTCAGTGGGGCCTTATTTGGTAAAATAAAAAAATAGTTAATCCTTAGTTGTTAGTGAGTTAGACTGTTAGGGCAGATCTTGGATCCCCCGTGTTGACTGAGTTTTACGTGTCACATCGATGATTCGTAACTTTTTTTTTGTACAAGTCAGGGGATGTGTTGGCAGTGGTGCATGGACACAAATACCAAAGCACAAATGCCAAAAAACAACTATCATTAACACGGACTCATAGCAGAAACAATATATAAGAGTCTGGCATTTCTGGCAACGGTTCTTCTTCAGAGTTCAATCTATTTGGCACACATTACGGCCCACATGATTGCCTTCCTTGCAAGATAAATCCACTTAAGACTAAATTATATGAGCATAAAGGTTCTAGCGGTGATGCGATGGTTTGCACACACCGTGCGATGAACCCCGTTACCTGATTTCAATCCTCAACCACCTCTGACATCGTTGGTGGATGATATCCGAACCGGCCCTAAGCCCTTGCCTTCACGAACCCTCACTGAGACCAGTGCAGTTAAGTCCGGTCAAACAACCCCCGTTATTGGCAGGGCGTGGAATGGCCTTAATACAGCAGTGTAATTACAGAGTTGTTCATGTTATCCATGTAAAAGATATGCATTCACTTGAGGTTGCATATCATAGTTTGGAACATATGCTAACCCAGAACACATTGAACGTTGTGGTCCAACGTTGGGCCAACGTTGGTCTAACAGTTCCAACTACATGCCATTGTTGGCCCAACGTTGCAAGTTTACTGGGAAGGTCCAGCTTGTTTTTTGTTCAGATTCGTACAAAAGCAATATATATGGGAAACACGGCTTTTTTTCATTGTGCTTGTCCTGCTTAAACAAATATATATCTCTCATAAATTTAACAAAACACCGATTATTGTAAACGCAGCTGTGGTGATTTTTTGTGGTTATTTTTTTTCTTGAGTACTCCAAATCTCTTCGCTTGGCATGCAATGGGGCATGCCAGTCTGTGCCCATCATCAGCTGGGAAACAGCTTTCGCCAGACAATTTTTGCAGGCCACCTTTATCTTCAACTTCCTCTGACTGCTGAAGGGGTTGTTATTGGTGATCAGATAGTGCCATGTCATTGGAAGGCCCCAATCTTCCTACTGCACGAGAAAGATTGGCAAATTCCCTATCTCAGCCAGGGGATATTTCCACTGTATATATATATTGTGTTTAGTATCAGTGAGAAACTAAGCCCTGATAATAAGTGATAGGGACGCAGCCGTGATGTAATGGTGAGCACACTCGACTTATAATCCACAGGTTGGGGTGAAGTGTGGGTACCTGGTGTCTAGCCAGTGTCGAAGATTAGGCCAAATACCCTCCAGAGGGGGATCTCTAGAGCTCATTCTAGTGAAGGCCCATCTGCCAGCAGTGGCGTGAGATCGAAGTTTCAGGGCTGCTCTTTTACCTTTTTTTACTTTTGCACATGCTGCTCGAGAATTTGCAATGTAAATAATTTATGAGATTAAAAAAAATGATATTTTGGGGGTGTTTCACGAAATTCCGTTTTTGTGAACGTGTGTGTGTGTGCCCCAACATGATTTATCTATGGGTACACAACAAAACACCCAAAAAGCACCGTTGAAATTGTCGTTTCGTTTCAGATCTCTCCGGAGCCATCATCACGCTCCTGCTTGTAATAACTTCGGCATGACGCAATCGAATGACGCATCTCAAAAACTTGTCATCCTCGTTGAAACTGAGCGACAGAGTTTGCAAATCAAATCTGTATATTGCAAGAAAAAAACCCTATCATAGCACAATAATAGTGCAGGCTGGTGGAAAAAAGACACGAGTTGCAAACAACACCACAACTGTGCATTTCGGCAAAAAAAAACTTCAGCATTTTAAGAAGAAGTGCATTGTGGTTCCTCTTATTTTTGTTCACCGTCAAACATAAAATGTATCAAACGTGAGCGACTGATAGTAAGCAGTGATAGACGACAGTGATCCGGTTTCATTACAAATTAGGACTCATCAGCACAGTATAGTCAGGCTAACAACAACAACGATATCAATATTACAACGTGTACAGATATCTTACACCATGCAAGTATAACACGCACATTTGTGATTACTTTAAACACAAGCACAGTGATTATATACGTGTGATATTGCAACATCGACACAGACAAGGTATACTTTTCACAAATCTCTGCTTAGAAGAGTCTCTGCCCCGTCACGGCAACCTGCCAACCAGACTGATTATATCATCTCGTCCACACTTTGTTTAACCACCACCATACTGCGACAACAACAAACGCCGTGCACCACCAAGTGGCGGTGATGTCACCAAGGCGCTTGTGCCATGCTCGGTGCACTTTGAGGCCACGTGAAGTGTCGAAGGCCCACAGGCAGGAGGTCACGGGACAGACCCAGGTGTCATAGGTTGACTGAATGAGATGACTGGCAGATGCATCACCTGTGCTCCCCACTGTGCCAACCCTCTGCGTTTTAGCCGCCCGACACTCTGCTCGTTGTTGTGAGCATCGCTCCTCCGCCCTCTGTTGTTGTTGGAGGGCGACTGCCTCCAAACTCCACAAGAGTGCGTCCTTTACAAACCTCCTCCACAGAGGCTGATCTTGACACCGCTGGGTCCAGTCATCGGCAAGTCTAATCAACTCCACATCCTTCTGTGCCACATCAGTCCATTACGTCTCTAGCTCGTTCCGCCCCAGTTGAGTCCCCTCGATCCGGCCGAACAAAAGCTGCCAGGGCATGCGGGCAACGTGCAGGTCACAACAATACACTCGCTCACTAACTGACTCATGCGCTTACCACAATGCAGGTGATCTCACTTCCCTCCCTCCCTCTCTTCTCTCTGCTTCTTCCTCTCGCACTGCTCCAACTCTAAACTTCCCTCCCATAACGTCTGCTTTTCCAAGTTCTTACAACATTGCTCAATTCGATAAAAGCATGAACTCTCATCTCGATTACACCTTCAGCCGTGCCGTTTGTTGCTGGCCGCTTGGCGCATCGGGCCTCAGGGCCTGTGCTCGACAGACTGCAATACGCTTCGGTAAGTAAGCCAAATACTCAACACATTCGTCAAATAACACTGCCCTAAAAGAATTGTTCTTCTATCTATATATACCGTATGATAAGTGACGTTTTGATCAATGGCCCTTCTTGATAGCACGCCAGGTCAGCCCCACTCCAAACTTGACCCCCTGACGTCAATAAATTCGCTTACACGTACGGGGGGGCAGGGTGGGACAAATATTGCGACGTGAAATCTGGAAAATAGGGTAAATATTTCTGCGCGCGAGACCACTCGGGTGACCTTTGCGAGCGGTGCGATGTGGTGTTCCGGAAACGCGCGGGACCCTGCAGTCACTCTTTCACTGAATTAAGCGATGTCTGCTGTGATTCATTATTCAGCCCACCATTTGATACATCGTGCTACCAATTGACTTCAAGAATCCGCTCCAAACGCCCTTCAAACCAAAAATTAATAATCCGTCTCTCGTGCGCTCAAGCGCATGCTTTTTTTTGTCGCTCCTTCAAAAAAATTTGGGCGAAACCGACGACGCTACTAAAACATCGGCGTGCACAAGAGAGACGCTTGTCCCTGCCAGGAGCCGGAGGTTAAGTTTCTGCCACAGCAATGTGGAATTTCCCATCCGCTGACTCAGCAGCATCCGTGACGATGAAGAGCCAACCGACACTCAGATGAAGATGGGGGACATGCCTAAACTTGCGTTTGATAGAATATTATTGCCTACAGTATAATGCATAAAGCGTTTATATTAATTGTCACATTATTGCTGGGATATCTTCAACTCCCGTAGCGCTTGGCTAAAGCAAGACAGAAGTTATGCTCAACACGCATCCTAACCCGACTTGATTCACTTTGGTGGCGATGGAACAAATTGTTGGGGAAAAGACCAAAACAAAAATTATCTATCGCGGATTCTGGAGTGCTCGAATATTTAGCAGACTGCCGGTCACATCCCAGCGTTTGTTGAGCAAAGGATATATCACGTCTCGATGGCCTCTTAGCTTGCTGGTAAAATGAGTATCTACAACCGCGGCTCATCTGTGACATCAAGGAGAACAAACTAAAGTGCTTAGGCTGCTGTTGACCACAGGGACGAATATTTAAATGCCATGATAGCCCCTTTATTGGAATCCTTCCGATTATTATTTTTTCTTCCCCCAAAGTAAATATTCACTCTCTGTGCCGATGACTAACCCTTGCAAGTGATGTCATTCTTATCAATGTTATTAGACTATGCCTGTGGTCTGAAGCTATACAAAGACCCCACCCCCTCCCCCCCCTCATATACCCTTAACATAATGTTGGAGTAAGTGCTGTTGGTGGGCAAGTGGCCAGCACCACGCCCGGTCACCCCCAATGGAAACGTTAACACCATTGCACTAAGCACCCATATGAAGCTGAGTCGACCGAGGGGAGGCCAAGGACTGGTTCAGATAATCGTCACTGGTGGTATTGACCTTGAACGGAAATCGACCTCGTGTTCCCAAGTTACATAGACATGGAACAAACACACAACACACGTGTTATTCACACAAGCAACACAAATGCAGACACACAACAGAAAGGCTTCTAATACACGCAGCACACAAGCATGCAACACACGCCCACAATAGCACAAACAAAACACACACACACAATACACAGCACACATGCGTGTAATACACAAACTCAATGTAGAGATGCATATGGTACATTATTAATAAATACACACATACATAATGCATGAATACATACCGAAGGCATAGAAACGTTTTGAATTAGAAAGATAATCACATGAACATGCCTAGATCTGTTACCGACTTTAATATTTAAACTTAACAATGCCTAGCAGCAACCCACGGATTATATTGGATGACGTTGCATACAGATGGGGCTTAAATATAAGTCGAATATTGTTTACGAAAAAAATCGCAATCCCTGTTGTAATATAGATGGAGATGGTAAAGGTGCGGCCCTGCAACGGTTTGACTCTCGCCACTGCTGGCAGAAGACCTACACTAGAGGGAGCTCTAGGGAGCGCCTGCAGGGGATATGTTTGGCCTATTGTTCCACGCCGTCAAATATATCTTGAAGAAGAGCAGTGCACCCACACTTTACCCCGCCACACGTCACCTGCCGAACGACTAACTGTGGCGGTACCCAAAGGCTGGAGGGGTATTAAGAAACTTGTGCCCTCCTTTTAACTGCCGTGCCAGGAGAGGGAATCGAACCGGCGCGTATACGGGCTGCAATTCCAGTGCGCTGACCAATTCGCCATGCAATAAATATGGGGTTTTAAATTTAGAAACAAAGTGCAATCTCGAGTATAATATGGGCATACATATTGTGTGTCTTATTACGTGCAAGCAAACATAGCTTTGACGTCTGATCAAAGTTGGCGCGCGAATATATCGGACGGATGACCAAAAATATATATATAAATAAATATAAATAAGAACACTGCCCCCCCCCCCTCGCTGCTCAATTAACATTTTCAAAAAGCTCGTGAAAAAAAATATTCAACGCGTTTAATTGCTTCCCTTAAAAATGCGATTGTGGAGGAATAGCTCACCATCACATGGAAATTCTGGACGGTTTTATTTTATCCCCCCCCCACTCCCTTCCCTCCAATCACGTCCGAAGCCGACTCCCCCGTCAAATGTCACCAAGTGATGGTGGCGCTATCGCGGCTAAAATGCAAACGAAGGCACAGCGGGCTAAACACGATAAGAGCTCATCTTTATTTATGGGGTAAATGGTGCTAAGAGACAAACAGATACACACTTTTTTGTTACATTTATTATTATTATTATTATTTCCAACGGAGGGGGGAAAAAAAAGACGGATGAGGAAAAAAAATCATTTTTTCCATCAATTCAAGAGGAGAGAGAAAAAAACCTGACAACTCCACCGCATATGAATCTGCGGGGGAACGCCGCACAACTTCTAAAATGCAGCCCACGCACTGGAGTCACACGCAGACACAACACGCTCCAGCTGATCCACTCAAACGGCGGTGGGGGGGGGGGAGGGGGTGGGACCACTCCCGCACACAGCCGCCGCAACGCTGGCACTGCCAACACGTGCAGCTCGGAAGCTCTCGGCGACATTTAGTGCCGCCTTGTGCCAATTTGAATACCGGGGTGATAAATCCCCCCACCACCCCTCGCAATGCCTCATCTCCCTCCCACGCCCCTCCCCCCCCCCCCCCCCCCCCCCCCGTTGAGAAGAGAACGACTGAGGAGCTTCACGGGAGACCATATGCCGTGCCACCTCGTTTGAATAACCTCCATGACCTCCCCCCCCCCACCCCGCCACGAACCCCCTTAGCTACGTACTCCCCAGAATTCCTAAATAAATTCCCACTCGCTGGTGACCATGCATCCAATTTCGTTGTTCCGGTTGCAGGCAAATAAAAAAAGGCCCTGCGTTTAACTTGACTCACGCCGCTGCTGGCGGAAGGGACTCAATCCACCAGAAGGGAACTCAAGAGTGGCCCTTACAGAGGGGAATGTTGGTCTACTCATCGTTGCTTGCCGGCCACACATTGTGGAAGATGTGGGCCTCAAGTGTCAAGGTGATATCTCGAGGGTTGAGGTGGTGCTCAGCTCCCCGTGGAGAACCTGCAGGTGCGAGTCTCTCCGTAGGACGCAACGCCTGTTGACTTCCCCACAAACCGGTACCCGTTTTAATCTATCCCGAGTGTGTCATGGGCTGAGTCAACCCCCCCATCCAGAACGGGACTTCCCAGATGTATTTACACTATATGCCCGCCCATAACTGGACATCTGTGAAAAAGAGCTTCATAGCTCATCGGATTCCTCCAGTCTAAATACTGTTCTTAGTCTTCCAAAGCCGCCCCCACCCCCCCCCCCCCCCCAGCACAAGAAGGTCTCAAAGGGGGGGGGGCGTGGGGGTCAAAGGAGGGGGGGGGGGAGACCGAGCGGCGTTCCCCCACCTTTGCGCGAGGCCTCGAAGCTGTCGTAGATGTTAATCCTCTGGATGTCGTACGTGAGCGTGGTGTTGGGCAGCAGCGTCCGGTTCCTGTTGATGCTGTTCACGGCGAACTTGAAGGCGATCTCCTCGGCACTCGCGGGGCCTCCCTCCACCGTCTCAAAGATTCCGCCTGGCCGAGGAAGACATAGGCGGACGCACGGTCACGTCGGCACGAGAGACACCACGACGACGACTTTGTCGTTGACCAGAGGCCGCCCTTCGCCTTCACGCCAGGCCCGTCTCACAGAGAGAGAGAGCTTCGCGCGGCTCAACATAATTCTAAAGAGCACGCCCGGTGGCAGCTGTCCCCGTGTGGCACACAGGCGGCTCGCCCGGGAAAGCCGGTTTCATAGGTGGGCGTTCGTCTGCCGGTCGAGGGGTGGGTGACACTCGCGCCTGCACGCAACAAGACGTGGTGCCTGGGTTCGATTTCCAACCCGGGCGCGCTTTTTATGCGTAGAGTTTGCGTGCCATTCCAATGGGTTATCGGGTTGCCTCCCGTAGCTAAACACGAATCAACAAAATGCGACGCGGCTTGTGTTCGCCAAGCATCCCAACGCAGAAAAGCGACCCCGCACACGACTCAATTGACATTGCACGCAGCAGCAGCAGCAGTTGCCAGCAGCAACAGCGGCAGCATCTCCCCCGCACTGCTACAAAAAAAAAAACTTGTGCAAGGACCCTCCTGAAAGAAAAGAAAAAAAACGTCTTGAGATTCAGCGAGGATTTATTGGGTTAACAAGCGTTATAATAACACCAATAATAAAAATCACCCGTCTGTAACTTATACTGGAGGGAATCCGATGAGCTGTAAAGCTCTCTTTTCTACAATAGGAGCAGGTCATAATTGACACAATCAAACTGGCACTAATTGCCGCTGACGGCGTGAGAGTTATGCAGCGGCGGCATATTTCATTGCCACAGCTTGTTAGTGTGTGTCTAGTTTGTTGTCCTTCCCCCCGGCACCTCCGATTAGCACGTGTTGGCTTACGTACGGTGCGAAAGAAGCTCAACGTATGCAGTGACGCCGACACACGTGCTTGCTTTGCCAAGAGCCTTCATTGTGGACGCCAACGCAATGCCTAAGCCCGGGCTTCATCTTCTCCCCAAGCGTCCCTTTCCTCCTTGGTGCTCTCCCCTTTTATAACCCTCGAGCCACCCTTTCTCGAAGGTTCGCTCACCCCATTTCCCTCTGTCAATCCTCGTCCTCCTAATGGTTGTCAACCGTTACCCCCCCCCCCCCCCCCCCCCCCCCACCGATAGTCCACCCTCGTGTCCCCGGGCCTTTTACGTTTGAATTTCTCAACGAAATCGGTTCAATTCTCCGGCCCTAACCAATCCTCTTTGAGGCCTCTCTGCGCCCATCAGAGGCCCCGGGCACACTCCCCCGTCTGTCCGTTTGCACGCGCACCACGTCGCGCAAAGTGGCCTCTTGTTTCGGCCTTGACACGTGCATCGCAGCTCGCGCAGGAATCGCGCCGTCTGATCTCTCGCGTCGCACTCATTCAGCAGTGCTGGGTGGGTCCAAGGGAGCGGGCTTGCACGTGTCACGGGTATATAACGACGCCCCAGCACCGCAGTCTCCCCCTCCAGCTTCCTCCTCCAGCCGATTAAACCGACTTGGGTGGTGGGGTAGAGGGTGGGTTGGGGAATAAATCCTTTCCGCTCGAAGGAGCTCGCACACTCATTGTTCACTTTGGCCGGGCCGAGAGGCTGAACTCTTCGCATGTGAGAGGGAGGGATGTCGACTGCAATTCCCCCGAGCCACTCGTGCCACCTCACCGCCTGTCGCTTGTATTATTAACACGCAGAGAGAGAGAGTGCACGAACGCAGCGATCGAAGTTACGGGGTTGGATACTAAAGGTGCAACCCCCCCCCCCAACTCCCTCCCCCTGCAATTTGCTCGCTCACGTCGCTGCTCATGGTAGGGCCCTCCACGAGAGGCCGCGTCTACGGTGCCCCCTCCTCGAAGGGGCTTTCCTCTCGTCCCCCAATGACCTCGCATGCTCAATAATGAATGCCTAAGTCAGCGTGCTTGAGTAATAAAAGGTAAAGGTGCAGCAGCCCCTGTCAGTGGCTTGCCCGCCATATTACTGGCAGGAGGGCCTTCACATGAAGCAGAGGGTACCCATTGACCCTCTCCTTTCACGACGCCTCTAGATATCCCACCAGAGGGGCATCCAGAGAAAATAACAATAAAAATGTATAAAGCGCCTTTAAACAGTCGTTCGCAGGTGGCCACCTCTCCGCAGACATGTTGGAAAGAGGTGGGAGTTGCCCACACTTTACCCCACCATCGCACACGGGCCGCCGATCGACTCGACCCTTCCTGCCCCATCGCTTCGACTGCCGTTGACCGGGAGATAGAATCGAGCTGGCGACCTCTAAGAATTGCAAGCCGAGTGTCGCCCGACCACTGCATCAAGACTGCGGTGGCAAGACTCGGTGCACAAAAAAAAGGTGGAAAGCACTGGGGGGAGAGGGGGGAGGAGAGGGGGGGGCAGAAAAATTAGCATGGGTTTGTAGGGTTTTTGGTTTTTCGTTACAGTGATCGGGTGTAAAATTCATCGATTTTCATCTTTGATTTACTCCTATCAGCACCACACTCTCTTAATTATCTCCAAAGTTACTCGTCATACGCGATTCCCAGGGGAATTGTATTGGCAGCGGTAATGAATATAACAAATAGTTATGGGCACGGAATGGATCCCCTGTGAGTGTGAGATAGCTGTAATCTGCCGGAATTTATTAGAGCGAATAAAAACATTACTGCCTTCCCTCTACGGCTCTCGGAAATAAATAAAAATGTGTGAATTCATAATTATGTGATAGCGTCATCAAACACTGCTAAATTGTTTCATCTCCCTGCCACTATACTCAGCCACGTGTCACGTGCTCGCGCGCATTGTTGGTTATATCAACATCGTGACTTTGTACCATTTGCCACAATTATCTACATCATTATTATTATTTGAACAATTGGTATTCACCATGGTACATATTGAGAACTATGATAATCATCACCCTTTGTACAATTCTCAATAATTGTCATCATTATCTTAACTACTGGTCATCATCAGCATCATCATTACCATCATCATTCTTATGACTTTTTGTAGCATGTGTCATCGTAACTTGAATTGCTATTAATCATATAAATCAAATTAACTATCGCCAACAATAGCATAATAAACAACAATGACTGGTGATTATCAATGATTATCTTATATGTTGATAACCACCAATGCTAATACCAACACAGCCGCCATTCGCCACTAAGTGCTGGTGACGCCACCACGGCGCTTGTGCCAGGCTAGGTGCACGTTGAGGCCACGTGAAGTGTCGAAGGCTCGCTGACAAGAGGTCTCGAGACAGACCCAGGTGCCATGATAACCACCACCATCATCATCACCACCATCATCATCATCACACGGACAGAATGAAAAACCCCACCACCTTCGTTTTAAAGAATTAAACGTGAGTCATTATCCAACGGACGCGTGTTTGTCTGCATGTCGAGACAACTAACCACCATTGTTCCCATCAACGGCATCGCAACGAGGCGACAAGAAGTCAAAATCTGTTTCAACGTCGAGTCCCCTGCAGAAAAAACAAATTTGTATCAAAGCACGTTCGCAGAGCTAACACATCAATGCCCGACGTGGCGCCAATCTATAGGCAATGATCTGTCCCTCTGCACCCCCATTATCCCATCTCATTCTCTTGGGTACAGCCCCTCTCTCTCAAACCAATGACAAGGGAAGACAGCGTGGAAATCCCATTAACAAACAGCATCAACACTTTCCATTCAATCACGACCCGTATGCTTAGGAGCCGTTACGGGCACAGCTAATTTGCAAACCCATGTAGACACATCTTAGGACCTACCACCCACCCCGCTCATCAGCCATGGTCAAGCAACTGCTGGATGAACGCAGTCCCAAGCTGCCGTGATATCTCGTGATGCCAAGGTGCAACAATGTATGGACGTACGGGACCTTCTTGCCAGGATCAAAATCTAAGAAGAGGTTTTACCCTTTCTGGCAATTAAACAGTTGTGTTAAGATGTTAAAACACCAGATATAAATCTTTCGCAAGGAATCCTGTCTGCATTAACCACACAAAGTACTTGTGATGAGCTGTTCGCCTGCTGGCGTCCTCTGGTCTAACACTGTTTGAGACTAGGCTGTACAGAAAGCTGTCTCTAGTGTGGACAAATCAGTCTCAAAGACAATGCATCATAAACTAGCAGAGCATGTTTTTTTTTTGTTTGCATGTTCACCACAAGCACTGTGTGTGGTTAATGCAGACACGATTCCTTGCAAAAGGATTCTGTTTGGTGCTTTAACATCCTAACACAACTGTTCTATTGCCAGAAAGGGTAAAACCTATTCTTGTATTATGTACGTATGTTGAACTTCTTTCGCACAGCACGTAGTCAACCGTGCTAATCGAAGGTGAAACCAAATCCACCTGGCACTTGCGCCACGAGTTGGATGCAACGCTCCATCTCCAAGGTTTTACAACCTCTCCGATGCTTTCCATCATTCTTGCTGACCATCGACCGTCATCCCTACTTTGCCATGACATGTCCTGTTCCAACCCGCTTAACTCGTATCAAACCACGTGAATTATGCCCGTAACCTCTAATACATCCGTAAGCTCTCATCCAGCAGCAGATTTGCCAAAAAGGTGCGCTCCACGTCATACCCCACGCTCTGTAACGGTAGCACAACGTTGATGTACGGGAGACATTCATTCACACTCCACAGGTTTGGCATTCCATTTTTTTTTTACCGTGATGCTGGCTGCACTGTTTAGCTCTGGCGCCTGAGTGACATTGCCTACGAAGGTGGCGCTTTGTTACAGATACAGCGAGGCATGGATGGCAAGCAAGGGCATTCAGATAGAGTCCCCCCCCCTCCGGCTTCCTATCTCGATCCACTGCCACTTATTTACAGGTGGCTGCCTGCACCAGCAATGCTTAACCCTTTACACGCCAACATTCGAACTACTGGGGGCCCCGTTTGTTTGCTCGTGCGCATTGCAAGTGTTGCTCAGCTAAACTTAAAAAAAAACTATTAACTACTCTTTTTTATTTTACCAAGTAAGGCCCCATTGAGCTATAT